CCTCCCCTCCCTCCTCTCTCTCTCTCTCTCTTCTCTCTCTCTCCCGTTGCACCGATCTTCCGTGCACCTTTGACCTATTGACGCCATTGTTCGCATGCTGCGTAATATAAGCGTATCAAGGATCCTCACTTGTGAACATGTTGTGGCGCGGCCCTGAGGACCGATTGCATGTATGAGATGCGCAATTTTATGCACCCATGGCAATCATTGTTGATACAGTGACAATAATGAGAAATTTGCTGTGCATCAAGAATTTAATATAGAGCGAATCGAAATCTATCTCTCTTCCGAGAGATAATAGTTGTAACGCATCTATTTCTAAAATAACGCATGTTTCTTATAAATTTAATAAGTACATTCTTATTTCTAGATATATTAATCAATGTCACATTTATTTAAGTCTTAAATTTATTATGCATTTAAAAATCATAGGTAGCGAACGCAACTTATGAACACAATTTATTGTAAAATTATTTTAAAATAATATTTTATATCATATTTACAAAAAAAAAAAAAACAGACGATTATGATTATCGAAATCATATTTCGACATTGTTACATCCCCATTTTGAATATAATCGCGAAACCTCCCCTTCAACATATCGCACGCGTTTATCTTCTATCGGGCACACTTTCCAATTTATTTTATCGCGATGAGTTATCGCTTCGCGGTCGTCGCTACAATAAATGTCTGCACTCTACACGTTTACGCAGGAATAAACAAAACATGAAAAAGGATAAGGACAAGGCAGCGTTTTCCCAAAGCAGCGATGTCTATAATTCACTCAGCGCCAAGAATCTGCAACAACAGGAAGTCGGGTCGTCATTCCCAGAGCCAAAGGGTATTGTGCAACGTTTTACTGGCAGACAAATCGATGCCGGTAGGAGTTACTGCGCTACTTTCTTTGTACTTTCGTTATTGCTTCGTTTTAATCCATGAATGAGATACAAATGTTATACGACACGTAAAAGTATCATACATCCAACACGTAAAAGCGTCATTAAGTCACTTTTTATATCACGCTTCTTTATACTTGACTTTAGAGACTCGACTGGATACGCACATATTTTTATAAACGTGAACCACGCTAGGTTTCTCTCTCGTGTTCTCCGATCTTTCATATCTATTATATAGAGTGCTTTCGATTTAGACCGTTTTGACATACTTCAATGTCGGAAACATTTCAATTTAATAAATTTTGTCGTGTATCTCTCCGGTTGGAAAATTGATACGCAATTTCGGAGAGAGAGAGAGAGAGAGAGAGAGAGAGCTAGACGAGATATTAAATTTAATTAATCTTGAAATTGCAGACGAGCAAAAAATGATGAAATCTCAGAACTCGGAATACTAGCGGTCCTATCTGCTAGGGAAAAAAAGAGTTCTTTTGGTCGTGGAAAATTTAAGAAGCCGTTTTAGTAGCGATGCCAGGATGCAGAAAAGTGCTTACCAGTCGAATTTTCAGATAGTAAAACGAAGACGATGGTCCATATACAGACTCCAAGGAACATTGCCAGCTCTTCAATTTCAATCAATAAACCTACTTTTTAAAACTCAATACTGTACGCTTATATTTAAAAACAATTTTGCATTTATTATACAATAAATAAGTGTATTCTGACGTCGTTGCTTATACTGTACTTACTTACGTTTTAGTTTTTTTGTTGTTATATTCTTCTCCTACGAATTTTGATCAAATAAATTAACATAATATAAAAACTATAAACAAAAAAATTACACACTAAATAAATAATCTCCCATCTTGATTAAATAATGCAATATAATATAATAATAATAATAATAATAATAATAATAATAAATTTTTAATATAATAATATATTAAAAATACTTTAAAGATAAAAATCATTCATTTCATCATTATTTAGCAGAAAAGTTCTTTTAATAAATCGAATAACGACACATTTCAATTATTTTTCATATTATTTGATCTAAATTAATTAAAAACAAACTCAAGAATGCAAGCAAATATTATTTTCTACCGAGTATAACGGAATAAGAATTATCAGAATGCAGCAAATTAAAGCTATCGGAAAGTTAAAAATATGCGGCGATAATATAAGCATCGCACGAACAAGCTGGATACATGACGTGATGCGATGACGAACATGCGTAACGTGAACTCGTGTAACGTGATAATAATACGTCCTTTATTACGCGTACGTGATGAAGATTGCATTGTGAAACGAAATCGGCAGTTGTGCCGGACTATCCTGAATAATATCTATGTTTTGTCATTGTACGGAGTTGCAATAACAATCTCTATACTTCTATCTTTCGACGAACAAGCGTTCTCCCGATGGACAATCGCACCCGGTCGTGTATACGCACATAATGACACGAATGACTAACTGGAAAAAATAATCGCAGAATAAACGCAAACGACGAAATCTCTCTCTTTCTCGACAAAAACATCGTAAATAATTGGACCAAGCATCGTGCAGAAAAATTGAAATATAAGAGAAATTCGTGGAGAATACGCGGTTGTCATGTTACGAAGCAATGAAAATTATAACATTTCACAGCCGTACAATGTATTGTACATTCGGGTCAGATTCACACTTATCTTCTAATGTATTCACGAAACGGACGCGCTTTTATTTTCTTTTTCCACAATGATATCCGTTTCGCTCAAGAATCTTCTTTCAAAGCTCATAAAGTCTACACAGTTCGAACATCACTCAAGAATGATATATCGTCATTTGCATCAATAACATTTGCTTCAATTTGTCTGACTGACAGTCCGAGGATAGGTTTCATCCAATTTAGAGCAGCTTAGCTTTTTACTGAGATAAAATCAGGGTGCTCCCTGCGGTGACTTTTAAATCAATTCCAAAAACAAAGCACTAGGTAGTTAAAACAGTAGCAGCGTCCCGATTCAAGTGAGGATTTCGCGTGTGAATCAATATTAACCACATTCACCACGACTTGCGGCTTTTATTTTCGATCTTCGCTGCATATTCTCCTACAGCTACATGTTCAACGAAAGGGGAACAAAAAAAAAGAAGAGCTCTCCATCCATGTATCCCTTTACGCTGTTCCTATTCCGCCAAATCAAACTTTTTTCCATTTATACATCTTTCCACCTACATATGTAGTTAAGTATATATGTACAACATACACAACACATATACAACACATACACACTCATGGATGAGTGATTTCATCTAACTCGGCATGGTCCAGTTGTCGCTGTAAGCCATGCGGTTTTATATTGAACCTCGCGAAAATGTCATTGATCGTTGCGTATTTCGATCCATTCTCTTACTTGCAATTACAGTTTTTATCTACTTCGATATAGTTTTTTTCTCACGCAAATTATGTTTTTTTCTCGCGCAAATTGTTTTTTTCTCGCGCCGAATTGTTATTGAACACTCGAATATAACCGAGCCGTTTTCGCGGATCCATTTTGAAATTCCCTGTCTTTCTTGCCGCGTTTCAAACGATGTAAATGAAATCCAAACGGAAGAAAGATATTTAAGAAAAATAACCCGAATACACGAAGCACACTTTGCATGAAATTTCTAACTGATGAGAAACGTACTCTTTTTAAACAATAGAAGTAATTTCAAGATAGTCCGTGCGTTCCGTAAGAGAAAATAAAAAAAAATTTCAAATTCGAGAAAACTATGTCACTGAAGCCAAAATATCGCCAATTGATGGCGGAATCACTCAGCGTGGGAATCTACTGACATGATCACATATGCCAGTTTTTCAAGCTTTTCGGAGATCGTCCTCGTAATCCTCTTGCAAATATAAGTTCGCAATTCCCAAGTTTTATATTTAATATTTTACTTATAATAATAATCTAAAAGTTATATCAATGATAATTACCAAATAAATCTACAGATTGCTTTTCTAATTGTACTTTACATTTAAATGAATTTGTTTATATCCTCTTAAATTTATATCTAATCGTTCTTAATAAAACCTATTAAGTAAACAATTATAAATCTTATATCAATATATTATAAATATATAAAATATAAATAATATAAATCTTATAAATCTTATATCAATATATTTCACTCTAATTTCAATTTTCATTAAAGTCAAATATACAAGGAGGACTCGCCGCCAGCATTTTGAAATACCTTTGCGATCGCCAAGGAGAGGGGGCGGGGGGGAGGGCGGCGGAGGGAGGGGGGGGGAGTATAATCCCCATTTTAAAAAACACTTTGAAAACCAAGTGCGCTATCGGACAATTCACACGGATCACGTTTCTCTCTAGGTTGTAACTGACGGGCGGCCGCGCGTACCCTCGTGCAGCCGATATCGGCGTTCGTGATGTGAAATAGTATTTAAAGCGTGGCCTCGCGCGCCTCTAGCTTCGACGGTATCATGTATATTTCACAAGCCCGAAAATAAAGTTTTCGCTCGTGGATGTGCTCTCCCGGGAGCGTGAGGGCCTATCCCCGCTAGTTTCACACACTAGAAATCGCTCGGTTCGCGTTTCCGCGACCTTGCGAGTTCTCCTCGCGGCCTCCGCGAATCCAGGCAATCTGGATTCCGAGATACAGAAACGTCGGGGGAAATCCGTTGTTTAAACAACCGTGAGAGAGAAAGAGCTTCGAAGATCTTCCTGCCTGTCCCACGGGGAACGACTGACCCCGGCTTTCACCCCCCCCCCCGTCAATCTCGGTCTCCGGCGCATTTAGCAAATTGAATGAAGGATGCATGCCCTCGGTGAACAAATGCATTCGGTTCGATTCGCGGCGATTGAATCGATTTTGCAAGACTTCCCATATATATATATATATTTCTTTTTTTGGGAGGATTTTTCAATCAACTCATTCAAAAAAATGTTTCGGAAAAAAAAAAAAGATTTTACACGTTACGTTTGACCCATTTAAAAACTTCAAGCGCCAATTTATTCTGTCAAAATATTTATTACATAAATCAGTCCATGAAAGACTTGAACAAGAACAAGATAAAATCAAATAGACGTTAAAACAAATATATAGCGTCCGTTTAAATTTAAGAAAAAAAAAAGTTAAAACTAATAATCATTCGTACCAAGATTTGGGAAAATATAACATTCGCCAAATCGCGGTATGTACTGCGCGATTGTGTGTTTATATTGAAACGTATCGGTGTTGACCTGCGAGCTTAGCTTACACGCGTATGAAAGACATAAACGCATCGACTAAAATTAAACGCGTGGTGCCAACATCAAATCCGACAAACATTTGGCAAACAAGCTGCTGAACGCTAGAACTAACGGAAACGGGAGCGATACAATTTCTTATCTTCCCGAGACAACGTACGATGATATTCGTGTGCGGTAACGTCATCCGCAAGAATTATTAGACAAGTTTCATGGCAACCGACGCGGAACGGTAGCAGAATCCTGTTTATCGCTACAGATATGTGTAACAGGAAATGACGTGTGTGTGTGTGTGTGTGTGTGTGCGCGCGTGCGCGCATTCGCGATGTGTATATGCGAAGTTAATAGTCGGTGAAATTACAAATTTAATACAAGTTGCGTAACGTTTCCGCATCTCAAAGCAGCCGTTTCACGTCGAATCGATACGCACTAAAACCTTGATGGGCGACTTGTTCGCCATCGCGTGCTGATGATATCGGTATTTCACGGTGAATGTAAATCCCGCGACGCGCTGTCCAATTTCCTTCCCATGCAAAATTCGTTTACACACTGCAATTTGATGTAATAGTTAAACGCCGGTCTTGTGATCGATAGAGTCTGCCTTGTAATTAATACGGAACGGGAATTGAAGTTCCGACACTTCGGTTTTTAATCGTTGCAAACACACACTAGGAAAAAAAATTAGAATCTTAAATTAAGATCAATACATTTCTCACATACATAAACAAGAATATTGTAATCTTCTTAAAAAACGTTAATCTTAATATAAATATTATTTTTGCTTAACTCAAGACTAAAAATCTCTTAGAGAAGATTATACATTGTCATACGTAAGCAAAAATATAATTCTCTTAAAAAAATTTTAATCTTGATTCGATTGAACTTATATCGATACAATATAAATTTTCTCATATATATATCATATCGAATCAAG